AATTTAATTAAATAATTATTCAATTTAATTTTATTATGAATGTGTATTTAATATATACAGTATATATATATATATATATATATATATATATATATATATATATATATTTAGTAGAAGATTTTTCTAATTAATATGAATTTTACTCATTATATATTCCAATAATGTACAGTAAAAGATTGTACACACTTGACTGAATTTGTTTCTCATATGATTATGATTATGATTATACACCCTGCTTGAAAGGCATCTGCTTAAATGCTTGAAATGAATTTCGTAGACACATAAATTATGCCTACATCCTCTTTAAAAATTCTAAGCATTTTTTTTTCAATGGATGAGCAGTCAGCAAGTGTCCAACATACATGGAAACGGCATCAATATTGTAAAAAAAAAGTCAAAAAGCGAAGGGATGGATACTTGGACCAAATTAGAATATAACATGTCATTATAACATAAATCTAGGGGTAAGATAAGTAACCAAATGAAGGGTTGTTTCTTTATTTAAATGAACAATGTACCCCAAAATGTCTCCATCACTGCAGCAAGGTTTTGTGCAGTTTTACACTCTTCAAAATAAATGTTACAAAAGCCAGTTTTCACAGCAATGCCATAGAAGAACCATTTTAGATTCCTCAAGTGAACAGTTCATAAAATAACCATTTTTTCTTAGTGTGAAGAACATTTGAAAAATCTACTACCTTATAAGAACCTTTAGTGGAATGGAAAGGTTCCATGGATGTTAAAGTTTCCTCGTGGAACCATCAACGCCAATAAAGAACAGAAATCTCTTTTTGGGGTGTATATAAGACAAGCTGGATGAGAATGAGGGGAGTCGCTGCGGCTGGCGTTTACACCCTTCATTAGCATGACAAAGGCACTCAGCACAGAGTGTGGCCCTGACCTTCAGAGAGGAAGTGCTGAGACCGAAGCCTCCTCCATTCTCACAGACGCACGGGTCCCCGGCTGCCCTTCGCCGCCTGCCTGCCGTATTATCATGCTGAACCCATGGACGCCCCTGAGCAATACAAAGCCACGGAGCAACAGAGCGAGACCCAATTTCATCATTCAACAGGCCTCAAGTGGCTAGAGCGATGAAAAGCACACTGTAAATACAGTGATTTCACAAGCGGCAGGTCATTATTATGCAATCGTCTGGAAATCCAGGCGTTTGAAATTGATTTACTCTCGGTACAGCAAAATGAATCCTAGCTATTGAAGCTTACCAAGAGAAAATTACAGACATTTGCTGAATTTTACTCACAGGCTATCAGATCAAGATTTTTTTTTTTTTTTTTTTACAGGTTTTTCATAGTAGCGTCCAAAAGCATGGAATCACATTCAAAGTCAGTTTTTTATTTTATTTTAAACAAACACTATGACTGAAAATAAATGTTCATTGTAATGTACATACCATTCGGTCTCATCCCTATTTGTTTTCCTCTCAGGACACGGTAACACTTTACTTGAAGGGGTGTGCATAAGACTGACATGATACCTTCATAATCATGACATGACACATGTCATGAATATGAAGGAGGTTTTATGCATGTTTATGATAACTGTCATTAAGTGTCATTCGCTCAGTTATGTCATTTTTAATGCAAATATGACATTATTTGACCTAACCCTAACCTAACCCTACCCCTACCCTTACCCCTAACCATAGCCCATAACAAAGACACCTCAAACAATGTCATCTTTGCATTAAAAATTACATAACTGAGTGAATGACACTTAATGACAGTTGTCATAAACATGCATAAAAAACCTTCATATTCATGACATGTGTCATGTCATGATTATGTAGGTGTCATGTCATGATTATGAAGGTGTCATGTCAGCCTTATGCACACCCCTTCAAGTAAAGTGTAACCCAGGACACTTTTTTCAGCTTTCACTTGAGCTTGTAAACCCTGCAAAGACAAAAGAGACTCTGAGCCAAAACACCACCAGTGAAATGAAATGGACAGATTAAAGGTAGGGTATGTAATTTTTCAAATACCCTTTAGAAAACTGATTCGGGCCGAATAGCAAAACAAACTTGTAGCCAATCAGCAATAAGGGGCGTGTCTACTCGTGATGTGGAGGAGAGCGCGTTCAGTGCATGGGACGGACATTAGCCGAGCCGAGCGACAGAAAGATAGAGATGGCGGATAAAAAACGAAAGCGGAAAACATCTGCGGAACGATAAGGCAAGAAGCAGGACCCGTTTAAATATCGGATCAGCTTTCCAGCGCTGGAGAACTCAAGGAGCGGAGACCTGCGATCGGACACCGAGGTTGCTTTGTTTCTTCTCAATAGGTGAGTAACACCGTGTCTACAACAGCTAAAGTCTGCCTACACTGGACGCGATCAAACGACCGTTGAAAACCATTTGAAATGTGTGTCAGCACGTCATAAATAGAACCCGGCAGCAGTTTTCTGTCGGGGATTTGTTGCGCCGCGCCGCGCCGCTCACGTCGGTAGACACGGTGTAACATTGGTTTTGCTTTGTTTCACAGAACTAATCGTTGCCTGGGTTGCGTACGTATGTGTGGGGCGGAGCTATCAAAATAGGGGCAAGACCCTTTTGGGGTAGGGGCGTGTTTGTTTTGGTGATTTCAAATATGAACATTGGCTACCAGAAATCACTTACCCTGCCTTTAAGTGACAAAACAAGGTACAGGAATGAAAATGTGTTGGTGATCGTTTTGTCTTTTTCATAGTAAATCCTCATCATTAGTGAAATTACACCCCACAGCATCAGCCTAATGGAGACTTTTCAATGCAGACTTATCATAGGCTTGTTTTCAGACCGAAATATAATTGGAAAAATAGATGAATAATACAATGAAACCTCTAATTCAACCTCTAATTGATTTACTTTAATTGATCATTTTAAATAAGTTATAGTGTATCATTGTTGTTGCTGTTGAAAAAATACTTTAATGTGACAAAAGAATTAATAAAAAATATTAAAAACAAAAATGCAGAAAGTGTAATGTTGTCCCATTACCTTTATCATGAAAACGATATATTTATGATATGAATTCATATATAAATATAACAAATTATATTCATATATAAAATTACATATAAATATGTTTACGATTTTTATATTTATTATATTATAGTAACATTAGTAATGCATAATATTTATGCACTTTACTAAAAGAATTAATAAAAATATAAAAAAGTGTAATGTATGTTACCTAAGTGTATATTACCTTTATCATGAAAACTATATATATATATTTACTCTATATATTTATATTTAAATATAAATTACATTTATATATAAAATTATATAAATTATGTATGTTTTTAAAAAAAATTATATTTAATATTAATTATAATATTGGCAACATTAGTAATGCATAATATTTATGCACTTTACTAAAAGAATTAATAAAAATATAAAAAAGTGTAATGTATGTTACCTAAGTGTATATTACCTTTATCATGAAAACTATATATATATATTTACTCTATATATTTATATTTAAATATAAATTACATTTATATATAAAATTATATAAATTATGTATGTTTTTAAAAAAAATTATATTTAATATTAATTATAATATTGGCAACATTAGTAATGCATAATATTTACTCATTCGTTTTAAGTAAAACCATAGCAAATTCAAATGAGATCTCCTTCAAACAGTACAGTCTATTTGTTTATTTTGTGGTTAATATCAAGTTAGTGCAGTTTTACTACAGTAACTGTTATTTTTGTGGAGATTATCATGGTACATTTTTGTCATGGCAGCTACTGTTGTCAAAGATTTGAATTTGGCAGTTTCATTAAGTTATCTGGGCCCTTTATGACTTTATTATGGGTATATTATTAAATGTGACCCTGGACCACAAAACCAGTCAATTAGCACGGGTATATTTCAACAGCCAACAATACATTGTATGGGTCAAAATGATTGATTTTTCTTTTATGCCAAAAATCATAAGGATATAAAGTAAAGATCGTGTTCCATGAAGATATTCTGTAAATGTCCTACTCAAAACTTCATTTTTGATTAGTAATATGCATTGCTAACAACTTCATTTGGACAACTTTAAAGATGATTTTCTCAATATTTCGATTTTTTTGCACCCTCAGATTCCAGATTTTCAAATAGTTGTATCTCGGCCAAATATTGCCTTATCCTAACAAACCATGCATCAATGTAAAGCTAATTTATTCAGCTTTCAGATGATGTATAAATCTCATTTTCACTGGTTTTCAGTGTTGGGGAAAGTTACTTTTAAAAGTAATGCACTACAATATAGCGAAAGTAATGCGTTACGTTACTTTTTAAATCTGGACAGGGCTTGCTTGCTTGTTTTTAAAATATAAAAGTTATATTTTTGGCAAATATAAAAGCCTTTTCACACCAAAAGTGAAATGAATAAGCCTCAGGCTGAAGGAAAAGTCAATTTACGTCCGTACAGTAGAATGCAGAAGAAGACATTTCAACAAACTTCAGCAATAAAAAAACACACAAATGTTTGTCTAGAGTAATTTGTGCTCATTAGTACGGTTGAACTGGATCATCGAAGCTCAGAAGCAAAGACATTGCTTAATAGAATGGGATTAAATACATAAAGGATATTTGTGTTGTTTAACATTTAATTATTGCAGGTTTGCGTCATATTCTGAGTTGCATGATTTTTATTCATTTTGAGGAATACTGAATCTGTGTTTTGTTTTTTTTGTGAGTGAGATTTAATGCATATGCATATTTATTTTAGATCTACAGTAACATCTTCTGATTTCTCTCAACATGGCGACACCAGAGCTGTCAATCAATAAATTGGAAAAAAAAAAGTAACTTGCGTTACTTATTTGAAAAAGTAACTCAGATATTCTCTTGTAAATTAAAAAGTAATGCGTTACTTTACTAGTTACTTGAAAAAAGTAATCTGATTACGTACTCGCGTTACTTGTAACGCGTTACCCCCAACACTGCTGGTTTTGCGGTCACAGGTGAGGAAACGTTACACAAACCTGTCCTCTCACGCGCAGCGAAACAATTTGACGCTCGCGCACGGAGGCGAGCGTGAGCGCGCCGCGCGTGCACGGCCGAAGCGGGAGCGCGCGTAGAGGCGGTCCGGCTGCTTCAGTTTCTGTAATCGCTTTTTTTCTGCTACCTTCAGTTAAATAGCGACGCGACGAGAACGAGCGGACGGCCCGACTCCGACTACACGGTATCATCCAAGAAAAGCGAATCGGGACTCCACATCGACGGCCGCTCGCCAGGTAAATACCCTCGCGTGAAAAGTCGCTAAATGTCCCGCGAAAGTGCTTGTTTTTGCCCCCTCAGTGTGCGGGG